AATTAAAATTTATTATTATATTGAATAGAAATTGGATGAAAAATTGTGAATTTCTAGTCATGCAGTGAGTGATGATCTTAATTGACTGATAATGTGAAATGGTTGACTTCAGCCTAAAGGCTCCGCAAATTCCTTACTACCTTTCCTTTTTATTGACTACCTTGCCTTTAATTTTGGTTTCATTACAACTTTCTAGCATAGAAATTTATCAATTGAAATATGACCTTACACAAGTTCGTTTAATTAATAAATAAAGTTGTGTTTATATGGTTAATTATAACTTTTGGTATAATAATAAATATTCTTACAGTTGTTATCTTAACAATTTTTTGTTCAGTGATACGCGTTAATTTTGATAGACACACTAACCCACATTAACAGGGCGTTTGGTTGGAGAGGGGGAATTACGTGGGGAAGGAATTGCAATTTCATGGGAGATGAATTACTGGGAATAAAGTGAGAATTTAAATTCCAGTGTTTGGTTTACAGGAATAGAATTACTGGGAATTTCAATTCCAATGTTTGGTATACATGGGAATTGAAAGGGAATAAGTAGTATAAAGTCAAAAATGTCCATTGTTGTTGTTAGGCATTAATTTTAGGTTAAAAAAGGAAGGGGTAATTTTGACTCATCACTATATTTTTTTCTTCCTAAAATCGCAGGAATTAAAATACCAGGGGGACATGGGATTTTAAATCCATGAAAATAGGGGAATTGCAATTCCTTTCAACCAAACAATGGAATTTTGTGGCATTTAGAATTAGGTGAGAATTAAGTGGGAAGGGAATTTAAATTCCTTTCAACCAAACGTCCAAGTGAAGTGTTATCCACATAGCAAGTGTTATTCCTATATATCATATATCATAATAACAAATTAAATGAAACTTATGATGATAACATCTTAAAATGACTTTTATTTGTTGTATTATATTAGTAGAAATGTATCATTTTTCTTAACCATCTTATACGGATCGGAGCTGTGGAAAATGGAAGAGGCACCATATATCGTTCTCATGTATCAATCACTCCATTATTATATCTATTTATCTATAAAAGAGCATGCATATTTCTTGGGTATCATAACATACATTGCATGTATCACACTAGCTTGTTTTGTTCTGCATAAAAACTCAATAACTATGAAAGCTTTTCGTTCGAACAATCCAACTATATAGCACTCATAATAATCTTTGTTGTGCTGCCAGCTTGTTAATTTCTTTGTGTTGGAAACAACATCATCAGCAAGAAAAGAAGCTGAAGCTCTTCTCAAATGGAAGAGCAGCCTGTCAGTTTGGGAAGGCTTTTCTTTTAAACTCGATTCATGGTCACTATCCAACCTAAGTAACCTTTGTAATTGGACGGGCATCGTCTGCAATGGTGGTGGATCTTAATTATGCTGTTTCTGAGATCAATCTTTCTCAGGCTCGTCTCTCTGGTACTCTTCACCACCTCAATTTTACTTCTTTTCCCAATCTCACTGTTTTCAACATCAGTGGAAACAACCTCAATGGATCAATCCCTCCCGCCATCGGTGATTTATCCAACTTGGTCTTCTTGGACTTGAGCTACAATTGGTTTGATGGAAGCATACCGCCACAGATTGGGAAGTTGAGGGAGCTTCAGTACCTCTCCCTTTCTGACAACAATTTTAGTGGAGTTGTTCCTCATCAGATGGCAATCTTCAAAAGGTATGCTTCCTGGACCTTGGATTCAATTTTTACTTGGAAGCTCCTGATTGGTCTAGAGTACGGATCAGTTTTCCTGTGCTGAGACATCTCAGTTTCTCTAGGAATCAATTTGGACCAAGATTCCCTGATTTCATACTGGGTTGTAGGAATATAACTTATCTTGATTTGTCTGAAAACAATTTGAATGGATCAATCCCTGAGTCATTATTCACCAATTTGGAGAAACTTGAGCATCTCGATATTTCAGATAATGAATTTTCAGGGCCATTGTCACCAAGCATCAGCAAGCTGTCCAAGCTCAAACATCTTAACTTGGGGAACAATTCATTTCAAGGAAGAATTCCTTACGAGCTTGGTCTTTGCACTAATCTCACTTACTTGGATCTTGGTTATAATTCACTCTCTGGAGCATTGCCTCCATCACTATCATATTTGACCAAGTTGTTTGAGTTGGGCTCATCAGCAAATTTTCTTTCTGGTAATATTTCACCCAATTTTATCTCCAATTGGACCAAGCTAACATCTTTGCGGCTTGCGATTAATTCCTTCCAGGGATCTATTCCATATGAAATTGGTTTGCTAACAAATCTTGAATACCTGTACTTGTTAGGAAATGACTTCTCTGGTTCAATACCTCCTACCATTTCAAACCTCACAAGCCTCAAGTTATTCATCTTTACCCACAATTATCTCACTGGAATGCTTCCATCCGAGATAGGAAACTTGCAAAATGTTGTTGTTCTAGACTTGTCAGAAAACAACCTCTATGGTCCAATACCTCAGACAATTGGAAACCTCACAAAGCTTGAACTCCTAATCCTTTCCACAAACAATCTCACCGGTACACTTTTCTCCGACAGGGGGAATCTAACATCAATGTTTAATATGTCTTCGACCATTTGCAATTTACATTCTCTAAACTTCTTGGATTTGTCCCAAAATTCATTAACTGGGTTTATACCTCATTGTTTGGGAAACTTGAGCAAAAATCTCTCAGTATTAAAGTTGCACCAAAACCAATTTCTTGGAGCAATTCCAACAAGTTTTAAGGTTGGTAACTCTTTGAGCCGACTTTATTTGCATGATAACTTGTTAGAGGGAACATTGCCGCGATCTTTAATCAATTGCAAAGAGTTGGAAGTTCTTAACCTTGGATACAACTTAAATGGTACATTTCCAATATGGTTAGGAGCTCTTCCTAATCTGAAGATCTTTAGCTTGAGATTTAACTGCTTCAACGGTCTCATAACAAGTATGAGAACTAAAGGGTATTTTTTTGCTCAACTTCGTATCCTTGACCTCTCTTACAATGAATTTTCAGGAAATTTACCTGTAAGCTTTTTTAAGAATTTTAAAGCCATGGCAAAAGTTGATGAGGTTAGGATACTGTTGTACCTTGGTTGGAAATATCACTATTGGGGCCATTATAACCTTTCCTTCTCCAACAAGGATTCAGTGACTGTGGAGATGAAGGGGCAAGAGCGTACAATTGAAAGAGTAGTTATCATGTTCACTAGCATTGATCTTTCAAGCAACAGATTTAAAGGTCATATTCCATATGATATAGGAGATCTTCTTGCATTACGTGAATTAAATTTATCACATAACATGTTCACGGGCAACATTATCCCAATGTCTCTTGGAAATTTATCAGTGCTTGAATCCTTAGACCTTTCTTCAAATCAAATTGCCGGAATAATCCCTGGGCAATTGACAAGTATTTCAACTCTTGAAGTGTTGAATCTCTCACATAATAAGCTTGTGGGATGTATACCTCAAGGCAAACAATTCAATACATTTGAAGCAAATTCATATCAAGGGAATGATGGATTGAAAGGAAAGCCTTTGTCACGAGGTTGTGAGAACGGCATGGCACCACAACTTCCTGCACCAAAGGACTCCACCAAAAAGATGATTCCAGTCTTTTGAGAGGATTTACGGTAAAAGTTGTGGCAATAAGGTACGGTTGTGGTATTCTTTTTGGATTATTCTTGGGAAGTCTCATGCTGGTAACTAGAAAGCCAAAATTCATTACAAGGTTTGTTAAAGAAGAAGCATACAAACTAGCAATGAAGGTGAAACGAAGAAGATCAAAGACAAGAAGAAGAAGAAACTAGCTTTAATTTGCATGTCAATGGTAAGTAATTAATCTTATTACACCAAAGCAATTTACAATTATATATGGTATGTTTTTGTTTGGTAATGCATATGTGTAGATGCATGAAGGAATATAATGTGAAGTGTGTTTACTAATTTTTGCAGCCCGTTTCTCTCCGGATGACAAATACTCTGATCTAGATAGAGGATGCTGTTAGGGAAGTGTTTGGTTTGTTTCTAACCCAAAAGCTACCTCCCAAGTATTGATTGCTTTTGGATCTTTGGCTAGATTAAAAGAAACAAATCACACGGATTAAGAAAACAAATCCCTTTAAAATATTAAAATATATAAATTCAGGGTAAATCAGTCTTATTAAAAGATGTGCATTCCAATACAAAATGTTGTGCATTCTTATACTGAGTTGTGCATTCCTATACCGAGTGTTGTGCATCAATAACTTCATTGTTGTGCATTCAAACCCCGCCAAAAATCATACAGTGAACATCCAATGTTCTACGATGCATTGAACTATGTGCTATAATGCACAACTCCCTAGCCTATAGTGCACAACTTACAACACTAGGTTGCACAATCAGCACACACGAATGCACAATCGTACTACCCAGGCATTTATACATATACACGACAATCCAAATATAGACAATATTATACTCAAAAGAACAAGCGAAAAAAAAATAAAAAATACTGATTAGTTTGCATGGGCGAACACTCAATCAATGATGAAGAAATCGCGGCTCCAAATTGCAACGGTGATGATCCAAGAAAATAGGAAACCAATTTGGCCCAGGATTATACATGCGCTGACACTTTAAAAAAAAAAAAAAAAAAAAAAAGACACTATTATCCCACCTTAACAAAAAAGATCAATCCATGTCATCTCAAGAACTCAAATCTGGACCATCCAAATAAAAAAACAAACGCACAAGATTAGTCCTCACGTCCTCACCTAAAATTAGGTCCTGACCTGATCCGGATTCTATATATATATATATATATATATATATATATATATATATATATATATGAGTTGTATGATTTTGGTCTGATTCTAAATGTTCCAATTCATGCATTATAAATAATGTCTTTTTTAGTAGTGTCTTAGAGCTTTCTTTCTAAAATTGATTTATTTTGGCTGTGGGGGAATAGTTTGTTCTGTCAATAGATTGTAACCTAAACAATTTGCTAACGGTTGTGGTATTCTTTTTGGATTATTCATTGGAAGTCTCATGCTCCTAACTAGAAAGCGAGAATTCATTACAAGATTTATTGAAGAAGAAGCATACAAACATGTAATGAAGATCAAAGACAAGAAGAATAAACTAGTTTTGCATGTCAATGGTAAGTAATCCTGTTACAACTATATATGTATGTTACGTTTTTGTTTGGTAAGGCATAATTAAACAAGTCCAGATCAGATGCATGAACGAATAATTGGTGAAGTGTGTTTACTATCTTTTGCAGCTCGATTCTCTCCAAATGACAAAGACTCGGAAAGAGGATGATGTTAAAGAAGCATTTTGGATTGTTGTAATATGATACGTAGGCGTTGTTAGATCCTTGTGCTCAATTAGCACTTTTCAATTCCTAATGTTAAATTATTGCATTATGCTTCAATCTTTCAGTTTTTATCAAACTATCAATGTATTATTGCTACCTTAAACCTTGTCTCTTTGCTAAGCAAATTGTTAAATTCTAATGTCGCAGTGATAAATGCAACAAAAAATTTCCCTACAGAGATATGGCAATGGCGATATGCGTTTGTAGCAGAAGAAAAGTAGAACCAGAAATGGTGAAATCAGTAAAAATGTATATTACAAAAGGAGTAATAATAATATTACGAACCAAAAATAATATTTCTGGAAAAATAACAAGTACAAGAAATGAAAGGTTGAGATTTAGTTCGAGTAGAGCAAAACATTATTTCCTTAAATCAAACGAACTAGGACTTATGGTTTGAGCACTCAAACAATAAGCCTGGCGAACTTGAACAGTGGTATGAACACACAAATTTTAGAAGAAGATGAGCAGATGTTTCCTGGAAAGCAAGAACGTGGGTATTGGAGTAAAAATTTAAAATTATACCAAAAAGTCATTAATTAAATTTGTCATATATGTATCTTAACGGGTCTTTCAAGTTGATATGAGCAGATCAGAGTAGGTTTCTTTTTGAATGTTGACCTCTTTATGGTGTTCCCACTCTAACTTAGCCGTGGGTTTCACGCATCATGGAAACTATAATTGTGATCCTAGCAAGATAGCGTGTTCATTTCATCAGATACATGTTGTATTGTTGTAATCTTCATCTTACAGAACAGAGAAAAAAGTATGAAAACTTTTGGTTGTTGGAATTGTGTAGCACTCATCTTTCTTGTGCTGCCTTGTTTCTTTGCATTAGAAACGAAACCACCCGCCAGCCAAGCAGAAGCCGAAGCTCTTCTGAAATGGAAGAGCAACATGTCGTTGCCGTCTTCTTCTTCACTCAACTCATGGTCACTATCCAATCTCAAAAACATTTGTAGTAACTGGACAGGTATTGCCTGCAATGGTGGTGGAGCTGTTTCTGAGATCAATCTTTCTAATGCTGGCCTCTCTGGAGATCTCACTCACCTCAACTTTACTTCTTTCCCCACCCTCAAAAGCTTCAACATCAGTCATAACGAATTCAGTGGAGCAATCCCTCCTGCCATTGGTGATCTCTCCAACTTGGTTCTCTTGGACTTGACCAGTAATTCGTTTCGTGGAAGCATTCCACCACAGATTGGGAACTTGACGGAGCTTCAGTATCTCTTCATTGGTGGAAACATTCTTACTGGTGTTCTTCCTCATCAGATCGGAAATCTCCAGAAGGTATGGTTTCTAGACCTTAATGGTAATTACTTAGAGGCTCCTGACTGGTCTAAAGTTAAGAGCTTTCCTAGGCTGAGACGTCTCATGCACTTTATCTTGGAATATGTTTGGATCAAAGTTCCCTAGTTTCATACCAGGTTGTCGGAACCTGGTTTTTCTTAATTTGGCTATGAACTCTTTCAAATCAATCCCTGAGTCATTATTCACCAATTTGGAGAAGCTTGAGTATCTTGATCTTTCTCGCAATCAACTTTCACAGCCTTTATCACCAAACATCAGTAAGCTGTCCAAGCTCAAAGATCTTTACTTGTTTGAAAATTCAATTCAGGGAGAAATCCCATCTTCTATAGGCAAGCTCAAAAATCTTCAAGTCTTGAATATTAAGGACAATCGCCTGAATTCAAGTATTCCTTCTGAGCTTGGTCAATGCACTAACCTCATTGACTTGGAACTGTTTTCAAATTCACTTTCGGGACCATTGCCCTCATCACTTTCATCTTTGACCAACCTAAAGACTTTGATGCTTGAGTACAATTACTTGAATGGGAGTATTCCATTTGAAATTGGTTTGCTCACAAATCTTGAATCCCTTTATTTGGGCAACAATAACTTTTCAGGCACCATTCCTACTCAAATAGGAAACTTGCAAAATTTAATTGATTTGAGCATCTCTGAAAATAGCCTCTATGGTCCAATACCTCAAATAATTGGAAACCTTACAAGCCTCTCTGGTTTAGGGCTTTCCAACAATAATCTCACCGGAATGCTTCCACCTCAGATAGGAAACTTGAAGAATTTAGCTTCTCTAGACCTATCAAACAATAATCTCTATGGTCCGATTCCCCAAACAATTGGAAATCTCACTAAACTCGAAATTCTTGACCTTTCTTCCAATGATTTCACCAAAACACTTCCACCTCAAATAGGAAATTTGGGAAATTTGGAATATTTGTACCTGTCAGAAAACAACCTCAATGGTCCAATACCCATGTCAATTGGAAACTTGCAGGATTTGAGTATACTAAACATGATAAAAAATAGCTTATCTGGTCCAATACCTCATACAATTGGAAATCTCACAAGTCTCGATATTCTATTTCTCTCCACCAATAATCTCACAGGAATGCTTCCACCCCAGATAGGAAACTTACAGTATTTGAGTGATTTACTCTTGTCAGAAAACAACCTCTATGGTCCAATACCTCATACAGTTGGAAACCTAACAAGACTCACAACCCTACTCCTTTCCGCAAACAATTTCAACGGAACACTTCTGTTTGAGAATGGGAAACTGCCATCAATGCTTATCTCTTCAACAATTTGCAATTTAAATTCTCTTCAAATTTTGGTTTTGGCCAACAATTCATTGACCGGGCCAATACCTCAATGTTTGGGAAACATTAGCAAAGACCTCTTAGTGTTAGATTTGCATCATAATCAATTTCATGGGCCAATGCCAACAAGTTTTAAGGTTGGCAATTCATTGAACAGACTTAATTTGCGTGAAAATCAATTAGAGGGAACAATGCCACGATCTTTAATCAATTGTAAAGAATTGGAAATTATTGATCTTGGACATAACAACTTGAGTGGTGCATTTCCAATGTGGTTAGGAGATCTTCCAAACTTGAAGGTTCTTAGCTTGAGATTTAACAAGTTGAATGGCTCCATAACAAGTACATATGTTAAAGGGTACTTGTTTCCTCAACTTCGTGTCTTTGACCTCTCTTACAATGAATTCACTGGGGATTTGCCTACAAGGCTTTTTAAGATTTTCAAAGCCATGGAAAATGAAGATGAAGATAGAATACCACATGAACAAATGTACCTAAATCGGAGCGACTATTACCAAGATTCATTAACGGTAGGAATGAAGGGACAAGAGTATGAAATTATTAAAATACTAATCACATTTACTGCTATTGATCTCTCAAGTAACAAGTTTGAAGGGCATATTCCAGATAGTATCGGAGGTCTTCTTGCACTACGTGAATTAAATTTATCACATAACAAGTTCACCGGACACATTCCAACATCTCTTGGAAATTTATCTGTGTTGGAATCCTTAGACCTCTCTTCGAATCAAATTGGTGGAGTTATCCCTAGGCAATTGGCAGGTATTACAACACTTGAAGTGTTAAATATCTCGCATAACAAGTTAATGGGATGCATACCTCAAGGCCCACAATTCAGTACATTTGAAGTGAATTCATTCCAAGGAAATGATGAACTGAAAGGAAGACCTTTTTCACGAGGTTGTGGGAATGGCATGACACCGCAACTTCCAGCACCAAAGGAGCTCCACCAAGAGGACAATTCAAGCTTTTTGAGCGGATGCACCGTAAAAGTTGTGACAATGGGGTACGGTTGTGGTATTCTTTTTGGATTATTCATGGGAAGTCTCATGCTCGTAACTGGAAAGCCAAAATTCATTGCGAAGTTTGTTGAAGAAGAAACATGCAAACTAGCAATGAAGATGAAACGAAGAAGATCAAAAACAAGAAGGAGAAGAAACTAGCGTCAATGGTAAGTAATCTTATTACACCAAAGCAATTTACAACTATATATGATATGTTTTTGTTTTGTAATGCATAAGTGTAGATGAATGAAGTTATATACTATGAAGTGTGTTTACTAACTTTTGCAGCTCACTTGGCTTCTCTCCGGATGACAAATACTCGAGACAGAGGATGTTGTTGTTAAAGAAGTGGTTTGGTTTGTTGCCGACTCAGAAGCCACATCCGAAGCACTATCGACTTTCATATATGATTTATCTCTAGTTAGGTGTTATCACATGTTAATATGAGTTGTATGCCTTTGGTATGATACCAAATGTTTCAATTCATGCATGATGAATAATGTCAATATGTTCATGTCTTCTTTCTAGTAAAATGGATTTGTTATGCCTATGTTTATTCTCTCAAAACAAAATTCTTCATTTCTCCTAAAAAAAAATTTCTTGATACAAAGAGTAACAGAACTTTACAATTAGACAAATCTGAATTAGAAAACACCGATAATATTTGCAAAAATTAGAGGTTTCATCCCTTCAATCGATGATTAAAAAAATTTTTAAGACTGGCATATTAGGACTCTATGTATTTGAGTCTGTTTATGATTCACAATCCTAGTTTGTCTATGATTCACAATCCTAGCCTCCCTCTGTCTACTCTTGTATATATACCTAGAATCTATAGTCTTTGTAATTATCACTGTTAATACATTCAATAACAGTTCTCATCTGGTATCAGCTAGCTAGGGTTTTCTTTACCATGGCCGATGGATCTATCAATTCCTCCGAATGGACCGTTTATGATGATGCTCTCTCTTCGGTTACCTCGATCGTAAATACCCTCTCCACCGTCCATCACTTTATCAGTGTCAAACTGACTTATCGGAACTTCTTACTTTGGAGAGCTCAAGTTGTTCCATTCCTCAACGGTCATGACCTAATGGGTTTCATCGATAGCTCAAACCCTTGTTCGTCGGCGATGATATCTTCTAGCAAGGAAGGAGCGCTGCCACTGCCGAATCCCGCTCGTCCTCCATGGGTTCGTCAAGATTAGGCGTTTCTCTCTATGCTCATGTCGTCGTTATCGGATGAAGTTATGCCATTAGCGATCGGGCATCACACCAGCCGTGCAATGTGGAATGCCATCATCTCTGCCCTCGCCTCATCGTCTCGATCTCGCTCGTTCAATCTCCTCAGGCAGCTCCAGACGTTTCAGCAGGGTGATGCCTCCGTCACCGATTACATCAGTCGGGCCCAGGTTCTAATAGAGGACCTCACCCTCGTCGGATGGCATGTTCCTCTTGAGGAGCAAAATCTATACGTCTTCAGGGGGTTGAGGTCCGAATTCTAGGGTCTTGTGTCTTCTCTCAACGTCCGAGGGTTGCCAGTTACCCTACATGAACTCTCAGACCTCCTCGACGCAGAGGAGTTCGTCGCCGGCAATGGACCATGTGCTTCGCTGACGGCCTTCGCTATGCAAAAAAGTGGACAGCAAGAACGGGGGAAGGGAGGCCAGTCACGTGGTGGCGGCTCTGGACAGACCGGCCGGCAATCTGGTCCGTCTCGTTGTAACACCCTGTGTTACAACCCTCGAGCCCGGACTAATTAATTAAATTAATCCTGCTATCAATAATTAAAAAGGGGTTTAATCTAATTAAGATTTCCTTAATTAATTATGTGGTCCATAATGGATCATGGACCATTGCGTGAAACCCGGTGGGAATAAAGAAAGCGGGCCTTACCATTCAGATTCGAAATAAGACTTCTGAATATATATATATATATATATATATATATATATATATATATATATATATATATATATATATATAGGATTAGAAAGCACTTAGAACCATTTTTTTCCCCATAATACTAAAATACACGATTTGCCCAGGGAGTTTAGCATAAGAAATTCCCCACCACCAAGCCTAGGGAAATCAATCAGAGGAGAATCTTTGTAAAGAACCTTAATAGCCAAGGGGGATTAATTAAGGCTTAGAGGTAACCCATGTCTTACAAAACCTATTTTCCTTACTATATCTTATTTATTGACTCCTTTGATCATTGTATGTGTGATTCTGTGATTGAGTCTTGATAGAGCTTTGCCTAGGGTTTATGTTGTGTTTATTTGAAAATCTTGATGATCTTGATGATGTGATTGATCATATGCGTAATTCGGTGATTGAGTCTTGATAGAGCCTTGCCTAGGGTTTATGTTGTGTTTGTTTGATAATCTTGAGGATCTTGATGTTGTGATTGATCATATGTGTGATCTTACCTTTAGGCATGTCTAGAGCTTGTTATTGGGGCTTATTTCCTGGGATCTTGATGTTCTTGTGATTCTTGTTGTTCTTGCATGTTTAGGGATTGATTCTTGAATCTTGATATGTTAGGAGCATGTGTTTAGGATTTGTTTGTGTTGGTTTCTTGGCTTAATTCTTGTGGTTCGGATCTATATTGTTGTTGTTATGTATTGGGATGTGTTCGGACTTGGTTTCGGGTGTCGGATTACCATCATACCAGCGGGGGGTTGGTGGGGGGCGAACCCCCACCTGACCACCCATCGGTAAATGTATATATACCAGCGGGCAGCTGGCGGGTGGCTAACCACCCGCCGTGTACCCGCTGGTACATAAAGCCGCCCCCGGCGGGTGGTCGCCGTACACCCACTGGTTGAAAGGAAATTTAGTACATTTGAAGCAAATTCATATCAAGGGAATGATGGCTTGAAAGGAAAACCTTTATCACGAGGTTGTGGGAATGGCATGGCACCGCAACTTCCATTACCAAAGGATCTTCACCAAGAAGATGATTTGAGTTTTTTGAGCGAATGCATGGTAAAAGTTGTGGCAATGGGGTACGGTTGTGGTATTCTTTTTGGATTACTCGTTGGAAGTCTCATGCTCCTAACTGGAAAACCAAAATTTATTTCAAGTGTTCTTGAAGAAAAAGCATACAAACTAGCAATGACGGTCAAACGAAGAAGATCAAAGACAAGAAGAAGAAACTAGCTTTTTGCATGTCAATGGTAAGTAATCTTATTACACCAAAGCAATTTACAACTATATATGATATGTTTTTGATTCATAATGCAAAGTGTAGATGCATGAAGGAATATACTGTTTAGTGTGTTTACTAATATTTGCAACTTGCTTCTCTTCCCATGACAAATACTCCAGAGAAAATGTTGTTAAAGAAGTGTTTTGGTTTGTTGCTAACTTAAAAGCCACCTCCCAAGTACCGATTGCTTTCAGATATCTAGTTAGGTGTTGCCACATATATGTTAATCTGAGTTGTATGATTTTGGTATGATTCCAAATGTTCAATTCAGGCATGATGAATACTGTCTTTGTTAGTGTCTATTAGTGAAGTTATTATTTCATATTATTATTGTATAATATATAGTTTCATAGTCTGTGGTTATTATTATTAGTCAAGGCTAGTTCTACTTCTCAGGGTTAGTTAGAGTTTTAATTGTTGTGATATACTCTGTAATTGTTATCTGTTTCTGTTGAATCGAAAGACATTCTCTAATCTGGTATCAGCCGGGACTCGGTCCTATTTTTTCTAAAACTCCACCGTCAATTTTCCCCCCTCCACCGTAATCTCCACCGTTGCCATTATACTACCACCTTCAAACCCGAGAATGTCTTCGAACTCATCTGAAGCCACCCCTTCCGCTGTTGCCGCCGGATCACCAACTCCGGCCGCCGAAAATTCTCTCACGGGCGCCCACCACTATGTGACCATGAAGCTGACGGCCCGGAACTTCTTGTTCTGGCGTACGCAGCTGCTCCCATTCCTCAGGAGCCAAGAACTCCTCGGTTACGTGGATGGAAGTCTGCCCTGTCCACCGGCAACTATCGCCGCTTCGTCACCTTCCGCGGGATCCCGTACCACTCCGGCAGCTTCTCTGGTTCCGAACCCAGCGTACAACGCTTGGGTGAAACAGGATCAAGCGATCCTCTCTCTCGTGATCTCATCCATGTCGGATGAGGTCCTGTACCTAGCTCTCGGCCGCAACACGTCCGCTGCCATATGGGAATCCATCACCAAGGCGTTAGGTTCCTCAAGCCAGGCTAGGTGTCTCAATTTGTTGGGACAGTTTCAACTTCTCCGCCAAGGGAATTCCACCACCGCCGATTATCATGGGCGTGCGGGGGTGTTAGTGGAGTCCCTGATTCAGGCTGGCCGACCATTATCTTTAATGGAACAAAATTTATATGTTATTCGCGGCCTACGTCCAGAGCTTAAAACCCTGGTTGCTTCCTTCACCTCCGGCAATGTTGTTACTCTTGCTCACCTTTCGGACTATCTGCAGGCGAATGAGTTTATATTGGTGGATGACTACCCTGTTGTCGACGGAGCTACTGCCCCCTCGGCGTATTATGCTGGCTCGGGTCGTGGCGCGTCGTCTGGAGGCGGACGGCAGCAACATCAGCAATCCGGGCGATCGCAGCAGTCCGGTGGGCGCGGTGGCCGGCAGAACCGAGGTGGTCGCGGAGGTCCTCGGTGCCAGATTTGTCGCGCTTATGGACATTCGGCTATGTACTGCTTCAAGCGGTATCAACCGCAACTAGCCTCGCCGCAAGCACACGTTGCTGTATCCGGAGACACTCCACCGGCGCCGGTTCACGCTCCTACGGACGGATGGTACCCGGACACGGGTGCTACTGCGCATGCGACCCCCGATGCGAATATGATGGGACAATCGGAGGAATATGCTGGTTCTGATGTGCTCCGTGTGGGTAATGGTGCAGGCTTGGCCATTACTAGAGTCGGTCGTGCATCCCTCCCTTCTGAGTCAAAAACTCTTAGTTTAAACAATATATTATATGTTCCAAATCTTTCAGTCCTGTTACTTTCTGTACATAAATTTGCAGTTGATAACGGTGTGTTTTTTGAATTTCATGATTCTTGTTTCTTTGTGAAGGATTCCCTCACCAATGCGGTTCTGCTTAGGGGTCCTGCTACGGGTGGGCTCTACAAGCTTTCTGCGTCACCATCACATTTTGCGTATGTCAGCTCGCGGGCCACTCCCTCAATTTGGCACCAAAGGCTCGGTCACCCGCATAAAACTGTCCAGAATAAAGTCCTACAAAGTTGCCCAGTCAAGTCCACTAAAAATGATCCTGTCAGTTCCTGCGTCTCGTGCCATCTCGGGAAATCATCGCGTTTTTAAATTAGACATTGTACCACGTTCTAGTGAAAATGTACTAGATCTGATTTTTACCGATATTTGGGGGCCATCCCCGGTACTGTCTGTTAGTGGTTACCGTTACTTTTGCTTATTTGTAGATGATTTCTCCCGTTTTTGCTGGTTTTATCCATTACGGGTAAAATCAGACATATATAAATGTTTCGAGTCGTTCCGTGTTCTGGTCGAGCGCCAATTTGGGCGTTCCATAAAGTCAATCCAATCGGACCTAGGGGTGAATACAGAAAATTACACACTATTTTTCAAACCTTAGGCATTAATCACCGCTAGTCATGTGCATACACACATGAGAAAAATGGGCGTATAGAACGCCGTAATCGGCACATTGTCGAAATGGGCTTAACTCTACTCGCTGAAGGACAAATTCCTCACGAGTATTGGGAATATGCGTTTGAAACAGCAACTGTCCTAATCAACTACTTGCCATCTTCTGCTATTAATTTTGATAGCCCATATTCGCGTCTCTTCAAAACACCACCGCCACACACCTTTCTTCGCGTCTTCGGGTGTCAGTGTTACCCCTATCTACGCCCGTATAACAGGCATAAGATAGAGTATCGCTCCACCCCGTGTGTCTTCCTAGGTTACCCTCCCTCCTTTAGGGGATATAGATGCACTGACTTGGCTACTGGTAAGACCTATATCTGCCGCCATGTCTGTTTTGATGAACATGTGTTTCCTTTTGCAGCAAAGAAAGTACATCAAGTGTTGCCTCCACCGAGCTTACCGTGGGCGGCTGCACCTGTTGTCACGACAAGTACATCTTTAGTACTCGCTGATCCACCGGGCCCACAAGAGGCTGCTGAGCCTGAGCCCGTGCCCTTGGCCCGTGATCCACCACAACTGGCAATCACTCGCACCGCCCCGGTTCGCACCCGGAAGCGACATATTCAACTACAAGGACGAGACCATGGCATGCGTCTTCGTCACATGACTAAGGGCACGGCCGAGCCCTTTCACGCCTTATCTGTTACTACAGACCCGACATGTTATTCCCAGGCCGTTGGACATGCCCACTGGCGTGAGGCCATGGATCAGGAGTTTAATGCTCTACTTCACAATCACACCTGGCGTTTAGTTCGGCCAGAACCCCACATGAATATTATTGGTTGCAAGTGGGTGTTCCGCACTAAGCGCACCGCTGATGGGTCAGTAGAGCGGTATAAAGCTCGATTGGTGGCAAAAGGGTTTAACCAGGTCGCAGGAGAGGACTTTTTTGACACATACAGTCCTGTGGTTAAACCCACTACCGTTCGCATGTTGTTTTCCTTGGATGTTTCGAAGGGTTGGACTCTACGGCAATTAGATGTTCACAACGCCTTCCTAAACGGTCACCTTAATGAAACAGTATACATGAAAAAACCACCGGGATACGAGGATCCCACCACACCGGGACATGTGTGTCACCTACAACGGTCCCTTTATGAGCTCAAACAGGCACCCAGGGCCTGGTTCAAACGTCTGCACGATTTTCTGTTATCCACCGGTTTTCAGGCATCCAAAACCGATGTTTCTTTGTTTTACTACAACACAGGAGATTCACGTGTGTTCTTATTGGTTTATGTAGATGACATAATTATGATGGGCAACGATGCTAAGCTTGTGACTAACTTACTGCAGTGACTGTCTACAACCTTCAAAATCCGCGATCTAGGAACCCCGGGATTCTTTTTGGGTATCGAGACAGTTATGGTAGGTGATAGTCTACTTTTGTCTCAACGGCGGTATATGACAGATTTACTTGGACGTTCGGGGATGGTTGACTGTAAGCCTCTTACAACTCCAGCTGCTGTCTCCAAATCACTATCTACAGTGGACATCCCGTATGATAATCCGACACAGTATCGGCGCATTGTGGGCGCTTTACAGTATCTGACGATCACGCGACCAGACTTGTCTTATGCGGTAAATCGGCTTTGTCAGTTCATGCACTCGCCAACCGAAGATCACTGGAATCTGGTGAAGCGAGTTCTACGCCACGTCAAGGGTACACTTGACTATGGACTGCGACTTACTCCGTCTGATTCTACTGTCATTCATGCCTACTCTGATTCAGACTGGGTTGGCTGTCCCGTTGACAGGAAGAGTACTAGTGGGTATGCTGTTTATCTGGGTTCCAATCTCATCTCGTGGCTGTCGAAGAAACAGCGCACTGTGGCTCGTTCTTCCACCGAAGCTGAGTATAAGGCGTTAGCTGATGTGTCTGCTGAGGTCACCTGGGTGGTTTCGTTACTTAAAGAGCTTGGGCTACACTCGGGTCAACCTGCCACGCTATGGTGTGACAATCTTGGAGCGACGTATCTCTGTGCCAACCCGGTTTTCCATGCACGCACTAAACACGTAGAGATTGACTACCACTTCGTTCGTGACAAAGTGGCTGCAGGGGACTTCGTGGTCAATTACGTGTCTACTACTGATCAACTAGCTGACATCTTCACCAAACCTCTTCCATCACCGCGGTTTGCTACACTACGAGGCAAGCTCAATGTGGCCTCTCTGCCGTCTTGTGCTTGAGGGGGTGTATTAGTGAAGTTATTATTTCATATTATTATTGTATAATATATAGTTTCATAGTCTGTGGTTATTATTATTAGTCAAGGCTAGTTCTACTTCTCAGGGTTAGTTAGAGTTTTAATTGTTGTGATATACTCTGTAATTGTTATCTGTTTCTGTTGAATCGAAAGACATTCTCTAATCGTGTCATAGAGCTTTCTTTCTAAAATGGATTTATTTTAGCTATGGGAAAATATATATTATTACTTTTTGTCAATAGATTATAGCCTAAACATTTCTAAACTTTAAACCTTGCTTGTTCTCAAGCAAATCAAAGACTAATCAAGAAAAGCACACATGTAACATCTCAATTAAATGATTCCACATTTCCTAAGGATCACAATATCACATGAAGGTGATTATGTACAAAAAATTTATGCATGCAATGTTGTTCTCATTATTTAATTACCTTGAATTTTTCAACATGCAGGTTCAATATGCCCAAGGGGTCACCTCTCAAACATGTAACTATTCATGCAATCGAACCAATTTACATAATCAATCGAAGGACCTTCCTTAATTTGAACCAAAGATGGGGAAAATGAATACAAGTCATTCCAAACATTCACAATAGGCCCCAAAGACCCATT